TGTTGCGTTGTGATGTGCACATACCTCATTCCCTACTGATACCAAAAATTAGGAAATTTTGGAAAATGGATTCAAAGCACTGCATTTGCTCACCATTTATAAAATACTTCTTTGTCAAACTGATTACCAAGTAACTTGGAAACAGATTCAGTCAGTCATACACCGCACTGTATCATATGCAGGAAGAAGGCTAGATAATTTTAGCAAAAACCAACCAATCAACCAAACAAACCCCAAACCCAAAAAGAAACCCTCAGTGGGATTACTAGTGTCATAATCTTGATCAAGTTCTCTTCACCTTGGGATTCAATAAGCATGAGAAAAATACAGCAAGTCTTGGATTTGAACACAGACATAAAGACAGCCCATGACTATAGTCCTTGTAAACTTATCCCATCTGTCTCCCTCACACCAACAGACTTGGTTGTTTCTTCTGTATCATAAATACATGTAAATTAATCAAAGTGTCAGTAAACACTGAGATTTCACTAAAGTAGATTTTTCCTTAATGAGCAGCTAACCAGGCAATGAGGTTGGGGGGAAAAGGAGGGGCAGTTTTGTTTTTGTGACTTTTGGAGCCTCAGGCATCTGTACACATACTCCCTCATTTACAGCTGAGTGTTTCAGCCTTTCTGCTTTTCTTTTCTCCTTTGTTGTAAAAGTGTTGAGGTTCCAAATACATTATTTAAGATTAGTATGAAAATTTAATCTGAAGGAGGTTCTGGTTTTGCTATGCTAGAGTTTGCTATTACTTGGAAGATTTTTCTGCTGTTGCCATCTCCTCACTTCCCTTCTTCCCTCTTTTTATTATTATTTTTTTCTCACTCATCATCTTCCATCAGCTTCAGTTATTGTAGGTAGGCTTCTATGACAAAAAGGTGCTTTAGGAAAGAGTTCTGAAAACGGTCAGAATAATTTTATAGTGGGGCAATCCCTGGGGGATTTCCTGTTTGTCTGTTCCTATTCACACACAAACAGAGCAGTAGAAATCACTGGGAATTCTTCTATTCCTATAGTGCAGCTCTCCCTTTGTAGATCTGGCTGTGGCTGTTCATCTTATCCATATCGCTAAAACGTACAGTGAGTGTCAGCACCAGAAGCTAACCCCCATTTGGAGCCAGTTACATATATGTTGCTGATACAAAGAGCCTTAGTCTGGTAGTCAAGCAGAATAATTGGCTACTCAGTACTTGGCTCATCTGATTTTATACAGCATATAATCAAGATCTTAGGGCTCCAGAAATTTAATTGAATGGAAACTCTGTAAGAGGTGCTAACTATGCTTTGAAGTTGCAACATTCTGACCATTCAAGAATGCGTATAGTTTGCCATGTAATAACATTAAACATTCACAGGAGAAGCATATTTGGAGAAGTGTATTTTCCCAGAAGTAAAGGTTTTGAATTTCAAAAAGTCCCCAGTTTACAACATAAGCTAGGTTGTCTTTCACCTCTGAAATCTTTTGTCTCAACCAATTGACACAATGAAAGTAAAAATCAGACTATGACTGTCTACATGAGGAATTTCACCGTTTTAAAACGAAGGGATGAAAGTCTTCTGTCATCTACCTAACCCACCACCTCCTGAAATACAGCTCTGCTTTGGAAAATTCTCCTCTGGTTTGTTGTCTTTTGCAAACCAGTGATGATCCTGTTTCTGCAGAGTTTTGCTTTTACCAGTATAAACCTGGAACATCATCACTAATGTCAGCACACAATCCAGGCCCCAGAACCCGAAGTGAGGTTTTTCATCTTTCTACACAATCATTAAAAGACCTCCTAAAAATGATAGTTTTCTAACTACAACCCAGCCCACTGAACTGACTAAAGAATAGTGATAAAATTAGAGCAGAGTATTACAGAACAATCTGACAAGAATCATTCTGAGACTTTTAGCTAGTGTACGCTGCTCCAGTATTATTAATTTCTGATCGGCTAGCAAAAGTACCTCACCCAGGTATACCTAAGCAAGTCACTTTCATTTAATTTGCCTTCTGAAGGACATGACAGCATCTGTACATTTTGAGATGTAATTGCTGTTATCCTTCAGAGTTTTTTGAAACAAACACAATCATCCTCCTGAATTACTGACTTTCCATGACAATTTTTTGAGGTTGCATTGTTCTAAACTAATATCTTTCAGACAGATCCTGAATAATGTAAGAGGATAAAGCCCACATGAAAAAATCAAGAATTCAGAAATGAAATTTAAGCTGTCAAACTTTAACTTAGTTGATCTTTATTCCCTTAATATTCTTCAAACAAAACCCATTTCATTCTAGTTCATAAAGAACATTACCTTAGAGGCCATAATATCTCTGAATTTTGTTCTAGGTCGATTTTTAAGTTAAAGTATTAGACATTTAAAAAACCCACATTCTAAGCAGCTATTATGAACTGGATATATGAACTGCTGCCAAATTTGTGCTCCCTCTTTTTTTTATGTTTGTGCAAAAGAAAACAATTTCAGATCCAGTCCTCAAGCTGTATGTACAGGGGTAAAACAGTTTTTCTCTGCAGGATTTAGAACGGAAAGACAAATTTCATGGAGGAGATCTTACCACTGCTCTGCTTTAGAAAAGTACCTGAACACATCCTTCAACTATATATAAAAAGTGCAACAGCAGTTCCTCTGGAAATATTTCTGAGTGTCACTTGTTTGCATATTAAAGAGTCTCACCATTCTCAGCATTATGATATAGAGCATTTTTCAAGTTCTTCTTAAGTATTTCTTAGGGAAGCTTGAGAAGTATTATGCTTGCTGTAGAAATGGCTAGAAGGCGAAACTAATGGCCCTATACACACTGCTAAGGTGAGGCCTGAAGTACCATGCTGAATTCTGGCTTCTCTTCTGGATGTCAGCACACAGCGTATTTGTGTCTGTGAACAAACTTTGGTTTTTCATGCTATTTAAATGGCAAGGATCAGAGAGGAAAGAACATTAAAAATACTTATCCCCCAATTTATTAGTAACTCTTTAATGCTGAGCCAGAGCTGACAGCTAATGACTTCTAATTCCTTGATCGTTGTTCTGAAAGTGTCCCAGTTGTGCAGCTGGCTTAGCGGTACTGGCTTAGCTCAGCCCAGGGGGAATACCAGACATCTCACGCTGGTGTCTTTCATTAACTCTAATCCCAGTTCCTCAAAGGCTTAAGGGATAGCATTTGAACTAAAACTGCCTCAGAGTACCTGGTTCCGTCCTTCCACTTCTGCCACATCCAGACTGCCCTCAGAAGGGTAGTTGTGAGGATACGCATGCTAAAGAGAACAATGTGCCAAGGTATCTCCATGTAAACATTGGCATAGGCCTCTCACATGCAAGGAATTATTTGTTTTACTTACTTTTATTGTACTTCTGCAAGTGAGATGTAACCCTGGAGAGCTAACAGTAGTCTGCTTGACAGGCGAAACTGGAAGAACTCAGATTCAGTTGAGATTCAGATTGGGACCAGAGGCTACATTAGAGCTAAGACTTCAGATTCAGTGTTAGTATAACCCTCTTGAGGTATGGTCACTGAGATAATCCCACTTCCTCCCTACCCCAATTCTAATTTATGTGTGCATTTGCTTTGTTTGGAAAACTGAATAACTTTTGAAGCAAAATATCTAGCAGGCAGTTTTAGCAACATACAGTGTATACAGTTAGTGTGCATACATTACAGCTGCACCAAGACAATAAAACATAACAGAAGCTCCTCTGGAAATATTCCTGTCTCTGTACGTCAATAATCTGCATACTAAGGAGTCCCAAAGCACTCAGTAGCATGATAGACTGGGCATTAAGTGGTGCCTAAGTAGCCCTTAAGACAATACACAGAAGAAGGTCTAGAAACGTTATGCTCTACTACAAGAAAAAGCTCAGGAAGCAAGGACACATCTCTTGTGGACTTTTAAGTCTATTATCTAAACCATTAAAAAATCAGATTTGTTGCAATTTCCTTGAAGCTCAGATTAATGCAGGTTTAACTGCCCACATGGTAAACACAGCTTCTTGTAAACCAACTCCCTTAATTGTTTGAAAAGGGATTTTTTAATTATTAAGCTAATGCAGCTTAATTCTGCAGGAAATGGAGCCGAATCCATCAGTGTGGATAAAACCTTTAAAGATGGGTCTCAAAATTTAGAGAATAAAGTGAATAGAGACTTTGCTGGTTTCTATGTGCCGTTCCACTGCCCAGTGAAAGAGCCTCTGCTCACTTCACAGGCTGCCCTGATGTTTATTCAGAATCCTACTTGTGGGTAACAAAGCTGTTCTTGCAGGACATCAGTATAGCATGACACATGTGACAACAGCCGAGTAGAAGAAATTAGGACCACTGGATCAGAGGTCTCCTGTTTTTGCCTGGGAATTCCTAGACGGGCAGAGCCCAGCTGATCAGTGTGGGTGCCGTAGCTGTTGGTCTATTAAAAAACATCCGTGTAATTTGAGTGAGCATCTAGCAAAGGCATTAACTAGCATTCTTAGCTTTGGAGTCTATACTGAGACTCTTAACAGAAGTCTTTGATTCTTAGCAGGATAAACATTAGGACGGTGATTTCAAGAGGAAGGATAGTCCATCCATCCCTTGCACACATTCACCAGCAGAAACTCTTTCCTTTAGGGACACTCAGGATCATCTGCTAATGAACAGCTAACTCTGCTGTCCTCCTAAGTTACCATGAAGGGTGACTGCTGGACACAAAGCGATTTGCGATGGTCACATGCTAAATCCATAGAAAAAATTAGCTAGTTTTCTATGGGTTTTACAATATGGACTTTAAGAACAGAAGATGTTTACTCTTCAGAAAGGACTAGGACCATCATTAGTTATGCTTTTCTGGCTTATCAGGCCTTGTAACTTTTCTAAGCTACATGTCTGTAAGGATTAATAAATTAATACAAGGTGGAATTTCTCAGCCTGTATGGTTAGAAGGTGTAACCTTCACTTGATTTCCCCTTGCAGTGGGAGAGTATGCGCTTTCTGTTATTAGACCATTAGAGATTTCTATGTAGCATCCTACCTGCAACGGATTTGGTGAAGTAAGAGGAGATGGAAGGCCATGCCCTGGTGACTGGCTGGGTTTCTGAGGGGAGCTGGAGGACTGTGGGGCCGGAGGTGGTTGGCTCTGGCTCTGAGACTGTGTTTGGTTCTGCTGCGGTGGTGCTGACGGCTGTGGCTGTGGCTGCTGGGTCTGCTGGGGTGGCTGTGGAGTCTGTGCCTGCTGGCCTTGCTGCTGCTGGCTTTGCTGCTGCTGTTGCTGCTGCTGACCTTGCTGCTGCTGCTGCTGCTGCTGTTGATGCTGGAGCTGCTGAAGATGCTGAAGCTGTTGAAGCTGGGAGTTCAGGGATGAGGTAGCTGTTAATTGAAGAGAGGGAAGGGTGTTATGTAGGTTTCAGTAATACCTACTGTGTTAAAGATATTCTGGATTAAATTCTGGTTCTGTTACATTGTGGGGCACACTGCCCACTGAGGTCAGCTGGCCTCAAACTTCAGATTGCGGCAGGAAACACGTTCCCATCAATAACAGCCTGTGGTTCTGCCAGTGCAGTTCTGTGGTTAAGAGTCGGACTTCACTGGAGGCAATGAAAGCAAACCTCTGGAAGGGCTACAGCTCTGCCCCCAGGACGGGCGTCAGAGCTGATGAGCAGTCTTTGCTCAGACAAGCTTCCCAGAATTTTGCCTGCCTAGAGAAAAGGTGAACAGGATACCACCGTACGTGGCATAGGAAGAACGCATAACATGAACTAGTGCTGTTATATAAAGGAGGAGAAAACCATAGCTGTAAAATAAAGTATGCTCTGAAAAAAGCTTTGTCATGTCTCTATACAGCAGGGGTCAGGAAATAAAACATTCAGCTGTGAAATTTCTTGTTCAATGCATAGGTAGCAAAAATACCCAATAAAATCTGTTTGTCTCTGAAATTAGAACTGCTCCTTACAATTCACATCTAAAAGCTATAAAATTCCCCTTGTGAAATAGGTTTGGTATTCTGTGAAACTGCACTGCACACTTACTCCTGGTAGTAAAGGTCTGTTGTGTTTTGCTAGCACGTGCTCCAAATGTGAGGCTTGGCAACTGGTGCTCATATCAACCTGCTGCACAGAGGAGTAAACTTTATCTCCCAGAGACACTTTCAAATTGACTAAGGCATTCATTAAATTCAGAAAGGCAAGAAGCGAGCCACAGGGATGTCACTAAGGAAGAAGAGCTTTAAGCAGCAGCCAGAACATCACAGGAGCCTGATGCTTTCTGGGGTTATGCTCTAAGTCACCTGGGTCTCCAGCCTTACCCACTTTAATCAACATCTTAGGGGTTGCATTAGATGGCTGTAAGATTCCAAGAGGAACAGCTTACAAGGTCATTGCAGTATTTTGCACTCTTGTATACTGCTTTGCCAACACCACTCTGTATTCTAATTTCCATCAGCAGAAGCCAAAGTAAACTGTGAATGAATCAAATTTGTTATTTCTAAAATGGCATTCAGATTTCATGGCCAGAAACTCTGTTCACCAAGTTATTTGCGGATTGGCAGATAAAGCCAAGTCATCTCCACTTTCTTTTCATGCCGACATCCCTATTTCAGCTTTCCAGATGTCTATGCCCTGGGGATAAACCTGAGGTCTTGGTATGTCTTATGAAATCAATGAGCCATGTACTGTAATAAGGAAAAGAAAAAAACAAAAGAAAACGGAGAAGGATGAGGCAGAATGGGTAAGCCAGGAAAGGCTGTATGAATGAAAAGTAAAAGGCTTGGTAGGAACAGCTGTTGGTCATCCATTCCTATACTCATAGCTGCTCTAAATTTTCTTTCACCAGAGGCAGTAATCAAACTACAAATATGCCTTTGCAAGAATTACAGTCATGTGTACGTGACTTTAACAAAGAAAATGAATAATGGAGAGAAGGAGGACTGGTAACACCAATATATTTCCATCAGGAAAGTTACTGATGGAAGTTTTGTGTTTCAACATAAACCAGAGTGACTATCAGATTAAAAACATGCATGGTATCTCATGCACAAGATACCAGCCTGGAGAAGTAAGGGTACACTCCCATCAATTCCATGATCAGAACTTGTACATAAATGCCCCCAAACCAAGATGGCAGGAAGTGGGAATATAATCTAAGGCATATAAGAACAAAAAATGGAGAAGGCGTATATACAAGAAAGGAACTGCATAGACAAATATTAACCATAGCATGAAATACTATTCACCAATTCTGTCTGTAGGTATGTACACAGAGGTGGAAAGAACCTTCTCATTCCCATGAGGAAAAAACTAATCTAGATCAGCTCTTTATCTCGTGCAGGTCATTTCCTAACCTGTGATAGCTTAGCAGTCTGGACACACCACTGATAACCAGAACCAAGACTTCAATATAGAAATGAATGCAATGACACTGAAGGAGGGTCGATTTAGATTAGATGTTAGAAAGAAATTCTTTACTGTGGGGGTGGTGAGGCACCGGAAGAGGTTGCCCAGAGAGGTTGTGGATGCCCCCTCCTTGGAAGTGTTTAAGACCAGGTTGGATGAGGCTTTGGGCAACATGGTCTAGTGGAGGGTGTCCCTGCCCATGGCAGGGGGGTTGGAACTAGATGATCTTTAAGGTCCCTTCCAACCCAAACCATTCTATGATTCTATGACGCCCCACAGAAGCATAACTTGTACTCTACACAGCTCACAGAGAGGAATGAAGAGGTCATTTTATATCCTATGTGCACAAATGAACAGGACGAGACAAAACTTTCTCTATAGCAAACTAGATAAAGTGGAGCGTTTTTGTACTGCAGTGGTCCCCAAACCCTTTTGCTCCCCCAGGGCACTCTGAAAGGCCATGGCTTGGAAGAATGGATTTGTCAGAATGGCATACCTTGTATGTAGGGCACAGGGTCATGTAATAGGGGACAGGCAAAAGCATTCAGGGTGGAGGGGAAACCATCTACTGAAACATTTTTGGAGCACAAATCATGTTTGGCTCTTTGAGGTACACCTTTCAGTTACAAGTTGAGAAATATGGTCAATAATTAAAAGAATGCTGGAAGTATCAATCTGAGATAACATGAAGTAACATAGGATGGAGGGATCACTGCAATTCTGCTAACATATAAGTGCAAAAACAGGTCAGTGCTAATTTTTGTCAATGATCATTGATCGAACTTATGGTATGCAAAAAATATCTGTTGATATAACACTGAAGACAAAAGCATCACTCCCTGGACTTCTTAAAATAGTAATATACAAGACATGAGGAGAATAGTAAAGAAAGTGAAAAATAAAAATTAAGTTTCTTGACAAACTAAAACAAATGAAGAGGTGGTTACATTACCTTGCAAAAATTTTATTATTTTGTGTGTTTGCATGTAGCTCAGAGCAATCAGAAGACTAATATTTAATAATTATTAGTATTAGTGTTCACCACAGAGCATTTGATTTTCTTTCAGGATGCTTTCATTAAAATGTTGCCAACCAGTGGTATAAAAAGCCCTGCAAAGTGACAGAAGCTAAAGCACATATACAGATATACAGAAAGAGTATTGATCTGTTTGTTTATCATTGGACAAAATTCCAGTTACTGAAATGCAGTTTTACTAAATGTATGAATCTGCTTAAGAAAGAAAGATTATATTGTTGCACGTGTTGGGATTTACTTGCCAGAACAGTTATCCTAATGGTGTAGGCCTCAGTTTCATTAACGAGTCATGCCTTTGATCAGTTGTTAAATTAAATTATTAAAAATTAAATCTTCATTAAACTTCTATTCTCCACAAGACCAATACTCTGTTTAATGGACATTTTGATTTGCACATTCTTTCTTCTACCAATACATAAACCAATGGACAGAATCCGGAGGGAAGAAAAAGGTGGGGGGAAAAGGCCTCAAGAGCTTTCTTTTTTTAACCTAAAATTTTGCAGGTTCAGGTCCTACTAGCTGCTCACGTAACCAATGTCGAATGGCCATCACCAGCACACTTCTGTGCACTGCCAATGCGAGCAGGTGCAATCACTCAGGCAACCTGATTTGTCTGATGAATGAAGAGCATCTGAAGTTGACTTGGAAAACATGAAGTTTGTAAATTCTGTGGGCATTCCCAGTACTCTCAGATGATGGCTTGATATGGAGATTTTTTTCATTCCCCATCTGGGAATAGAAAAGTTTTGCATTCAGTACTGCTCAGTACTTGAATGTTGGGGCCAATGCAGGAATATCAGTATCTCTACCATTCACTTTTGTACTGGAAGTGCACTTAATCTTGCTGGGGTGAAAGGTGGTCCCTGGGGGAAAATTTTGTTGATGGAAAAAAGTTAATTCATGGAAAAGTTTCCAAGTTCATTGCCAGCAACTGCACAAAATTATCCAAATAACTTCTCCTCTTTTCACATAATTCCTTTAAAAAGCCCCTCCAAAGCCTGCTATCATACTGAGCTACAAATTGCATTGAAGTGACTTAGTGAGGTATGATTGTTTTAACATGCTGATGCTAAACAAACAGGGAATTGGAAGAAGGACTGTTAGATCAGACAAGGCTTTCCCAGAGCCACACAGGAGGTGTACCGCAAAGGTAGATTTAGGGCTCCGGATCATGCCTGCAGTCCAGTGTTCATTGCTGCCTGATTCCACTGCCTCTCACAATGTGTGTACTATCCACAGCAGGGGTTGTGTCACATTATTGTTTGTAATCAAATCCAATCCAACTCCCAGAGCTTGCTTGCATACCTCATCCATTATAAATCGTATACCTGTCTAGCATTTGTCACTTTCTGCAGAGCTTGGAGCCTGATGGAATTTCAGGTGGTACAACAGTGCTATGTCTGCATGTATAAAAGATAACATGCACTGCCTACTTCACAGGAATCTTTTTACGGCTTACTGGCTAACAGCTGGGTAAAACTTTGTCATATTTAAGTGAGAAGTGCCTACTTTCTTTCAGAATTGCATTCAACAATTAAAAAAGCTTGCAAAAAATTCCAAAAAATTCTTTCTGTGGTTAAAAAAGACAACATAAAGCACATCACTTTAAAAGGGAGATAACTAAAAATGCATGCAAGCTATGAAAAACTGCAAGGGAAACCCACAAACTCTGTGACATTTCAACTTTCACCAACAAAAAGCAATGATGTTGAATATATACCAAGTATCTAAGAAGCTGGTAAGAACTTATACCTACAACAAAACAATGACATGAGGGAGTTTTAAACTTGAGTTTTCACTATAATTTCTTGGTTTCTGCAGTGCCATGGCAGACTTCCCAAGGGATCGCGCCATGTTTTATGCTCCTACTTTAAGCGGATTATGCTTAGCCACAGTATCAAATCATTTACATTAGAATAATATATACAGAGTTAAGTGATGCA